TGTGTATGTATTTTTTGTTTTATAGTTTTATTGCCATGTTTATTGTTATTATTATTACTTTAAATAATGGCTAGTTTAAGATGTATAATTTATTTATTTAATGCTTATAAGATATTTTGTTACAAGAGTACTTTAAGAATATCTTTTTAAAAGCATATTGGATATTCCACGAGCGACTTTAAACGATTCACGTTAAAAAATAAATGTTTCCTTTATAAACTGAATTACAAAAAAAAACAAAACATCCTAATGACAGCGCCAGAGTCACGTATTTTATAATCTATGCAATTACAGAATGCACCGAAATATTAAAACTGTATTACGATTTAACCGTAATTGATAGTAAATTGTCGCTAAACCGACCGTTTTCGGACGGAAATACGTTTTTTTACCTCAAATCGATTTCGTTTAATGTTTTACAATTGTTTTTCTTCATTTCATTTTTTTCTATAATTTGAGGTTAGATAGGAAGTCGAAATTATGTTGAGACAATTTTATTTTTGTTATATATAGAATACGTTAGTAATAAAAATGCCGTATTTAACCTTTTTGCGTAATAGATTCTATCGTACATAGATAATATAAGACGTTATAATATAATAGGTACCTATTATATTATAAATTTTTATATGTACATTATGAAATTATAGATAAATTGCGAGCGTCGCGTAAAAAATATGTATTTCTTAATGTTATAGATAATTTTAATATACCCTAGTATTCTCTTTATTATCTATAGAAAACCACAATGCAAATAGTTGTATCTATTTATATTTATTAAGTTCATTTCTTTACTAACAATGTTATGCTACAGCTTCTATAAATATTTTGTTATTTTAAATTTATAAAAATAACTTAACATTTATTCTTATAAGGATATTTTAATTTTACGACAATTTTGTATAAGACAGTATTATTTTGTAAAATGGAAGGTAGGTATCCAAAAAATAAATATAATATTTAATTTTAAAAACGTTTAATTTTTTGAAAAAGTAATATATTAAAATAATTTTTGTTTTATCGTTTTATACAAATTGTTCATGAAATCTTGGAATTCTTTTACTTTTTATTACCATAAGGGTTAAAGCACGATGTCACCCAGTCTACAACGTACCTACATTCTATAGGTACTATTAGTCTATTCTATTAATCTCGTATAGTATTAGCCTGGAGTTGGGAAGTTGCCGGTGTTTCACACCCGTGCCTCAGAGAGCACGTAAAGCCATCGGTACCACGCCTGAACTCTCACCGGTCGTGTCGAAGTATTATCCCATCGAACATAAGGGTAAAAGGAGTAGAGAGTGCACTTGTGTCTGCGCGTACACTTGTGCGCATGGCTCCTGCGCATGGCTAGTCTCTGGGAAATTGGCCACTGTGGCCGAACTCGGTTAGGCGGACATTACTATAGTACTATTAAAAATTCGACAGTTTGTATGCTTGTTACTTCTTTAAACTGGACGCAAACGCTCTAGTATAAAAACATAAATATGTTTGCACATAATTAGTGATGTTCTCCTAACCGATTCCGGCCACGGCGGCCAATCTCATTGAGACGAGCCAACTGCGCAAGGGATATTATAGTGCACAAGTGTGCGCGCGGACACAGGTGCACTCTCTATTCCTGTCACTCTCATACTTCGGTTTACTATACAGAAAGACTCAATAGCTAAACTTGGCCCGACCCGGGACTCGAACCCAGGACCTCCGGGTGTGCAGCCGTATATGTTAGCCACTAGACCACCGAGGCAGTTACATACTTAGTATATTTACTTAGTTTCAACTACGAAGTAATTCCTGAAACTTTCCATAATTTTTTTATAGCTAAATACATTACAGGTTAATTGTTTTGTTTATGGCTTTTAGATGTACTTATTGTGTTTGTAGAACCGCTAATCTCTGGAACTACCAGTCAGATATAAAAATGTTTCTTGCGTTTTATAATCTACCAGCATAACCCGTGGCTTCAGTCGCGCTAAAACACCCAAAAATACTCTAAAGGGTAGGTTTCATACAAATTTTCATCCCATATTTTACCCCCCTTATGGGATGAATTTCGAAAAATGCTAAAATGCGTATTTATTTAATTGTGTTGAAGAGCATTAATACCAAGTTTCAAGTAATTCTGAACATATTTTTTTGGGTTGTATTATAACGTGTTTTCCTGTGAGGATGAGATAATCTCCCGCAGTAAAAAGTAGCTTATGTTACTCCAGTCCTTTAACTATCTCCACACAAAAAATTAAGCCAATCCGTTAATCCGTTTCGACGTGAAAGAAGGACAAATGTGTTATAGTCAGGTTATAGTCTATCTGTTATCTACTAAATTTAATTTAAATCCGTCTAGTCGTTTAAGCTTCAAGGAGTAACAAGCAAAAACACGACTCATACGTATGCTAACACATTAACACACAGCACTATCTAGTTCCTTGGTAAGCTACGAGGCTTGTGTTATGGATACCAGATAGTTGATACACTACACATATATAACTTCAAATACATACATATTATAAATATAAACACCCATGACTGGAGTACAAACATTCGTGCTCAACACACAAATGAATGCCCCCAGCGGGACTCGAACCCGCGACCGCTGGCACAGCAAGTAGGGTCACAACAAACTGAGCCAAACGTATATAACGTGACAATATAAATAATAACAATAAATATAATAGTAGCCAAATTATATTTCATTTAATGCCATTCCTTCTTTTTTATAATTATTTATCTTCCCGATTTACTCATTCAAATAAAAAATAAAATAACATTTTGGTATTTCATTTATTTTATTAAAACGTCTAGCATTCAGCCAGGTTAATGAAAACTTGTCGATACAATTTATATACACGCAACAAGTTTCCTTTACTACATTCAACTTTAATTATATTTAAATTATTTACATGTTCTTACACAGAGTATTTAAAAAGCGAGGAAATACTTAGAATCTAACTTAACTGTTACAGCAAATCGCAAGATAACACAAGTTAATGGCAAATAGCTCAATTTAGGATAGATTTTTTTTCGTAAATTATAAAATACTAGTATTCGCCCTATAAAAATGTACCTGCTAGTTAAACTACACGTTTTCTATAAGTAAAATAATTTTTAATCAATTCAGGGACGTAGTTATGCAAATAGATCCAACCACAAAAACTAAATTTTTAGAAAATAAGAGTTTTAGTAAAATTGGTACTCGTATATCAAAATAACAAGATAGTAGTTTTTTTTGAAATTCCTCTTAAATATTTAACGGTTTTCGTGAGCTGGATCCATTTTGCATAACTACGTCCAGTTGTTCCTGAGATTATATCAGATATGTGTGGACACTAGGACTTACAAGCAAAAAAAATTGCGCAAGTTCATCCATCGCCTAATTGAAATGAAGTTAGTGATTACATAATTAAGTATTTGTAATAGTTTTAATCTTCCTTTGTTTTGGTTAGAAAATTATTTTAATTAAATTTAACAAGTTTTAATTAAATTTAATTAAAATAATGAGAATTATGAAAATTATTCAGCAAAATAATATAATGAATTTTTTAAGAGGTCAAATGAGTTATATACACAATATTGTTAGGTAATTTGTTATGTAATAGGTACTAAATCTATTTACAAAGTCAAAAGTCACATATTGTATATTATCTTTTTATTTTATCTCGGTCTTTGCTAATTAACATATTCTAATGATTATTCTTACAAACTTTACTCATTATGAGGTCAATTAAAAATATTTTTCACTGTGCTAAAAAGGTTCCGATAATGGAGAGGTTTCATGTTGTTAATATCATATTTAACGCAATGGAATTATGAAATAGATTAAAATTTAAAACTCAACAAATGAAAAAGTTATGTAACTTTAAAGTTGAGCTTTAAAGTTTCATAACTTTTTCATTTGTTGAGATATTTTAATAATTCTTGAGCTTTAAAGTTTCATAAAGTTTTCATTTGTTGAGATATTTTAATAATTCCTTTATATATTTTTATATTTTACTTAATTTTTTATAATTAATACATAAAAAAATTTGGAAACTTCTCCATTGTAAGTAGAGTTGCTTTGCAATATATATTTGTTTAAATATTTGTTTTATTTTTACGATACATATACAGTAAGTACTAATATCTCTAATGAACTATTTAAAGATGAATATAAAATAATACACTATATTAATACTGATCGATCTATATACAGATGGTGTTTTTAAAAAATCATTTACCACCATATGTTAAAAAGTAAAATATTTCATTAAGATGTTTACAATTATCTATATTATATACAGTGCGTTCGTTAACAATTAAAGTTTTTTTTATTCAAAAGCAAAGCAATAATTGTGATGACAGAAAAATTATATATAAAACTTTTATAATCAAAGTTGTGCTAATTTGATGTCTATTAGTGTTCACTAACATTTAACACTATAAATGATTAAATCTATACACGTAATGTATGTAGACTAGACTTTATCATGTACGTGCTTAATTGTTAATTTGATGTAGCATTAATTCAATTTTACAAGCAATTTCTAATTAAAAATAACTTATTCACTAGTTATGTACAATCACAAGTATTTAAGCTTATATAAAGATATTTTATGTGCAAATATTATTATTATATGCGACATGTTATCTTATTTTAAAGGTTATTTAAATATATTATATTATGTCAGGATGCGTTATCTCAATAGAATTAATGAACAAATATTACTGTTATAGGTACATATATCAGGAATATTGAAGAATGTACAATATTTTACTAACTGTTCATAAATAAAAAAAAAAACCAAAAAAAAAACATAAAACCACAGACTTAAAAGTCCTTTCTAACATATACCGCTTACAGCGCTTTATTACATTCTGCAACTATATGATTGATAATTTATTTGTTAATGAATTAAATATTATTATTACACTATATTAGTTATATTATGATTAGCAACAACTATTTTCTTTTTCTATTTTTACATATCATTTACTTTTAGAGCTTATAATGTTATTTTATTTCAACAGATAGGAGAAGCTACGGGTGGTGGATGTGGGGGTGGTGCAGAACCTGCTGCATTCATAAAGGAGCCTTGATTGCCAGCCCACGGTTGTAAATTTTGTAAAGCGCTTAAAGCGGTATTATTTTGTGGTTGAGGTGCATTGGATGGTTGGTAATGAAGCGCTGAAAGTTGGGAGCCGGGCGGGGGCTCTGGCATGTAGCCTTTGCTTAGCGCTTCAGCTTGAAGCGATAACATTAGACGGTTGGCCGCTTGTCGTTCCGCTTCTCTTTCTTCGGCTGTTTGTCGTCTGAAACAAGAAAAAAGTTATATTTTGAACATTATGTAATTAAAATACTTGACACCACATCGTTGGTTTGTTAATTTATAAAATTATTAATTACCTACTTCAGTAAAGAATATCTATAGAGTTATAATATTCGTAAACATTATTTCGTGGAGTATTCCTCACCTACAATATTATAAATTAAAATTCATTTTAATTTATAATTAAAATTCATTGCAACACTGAGCATGAATCCCACAAACTACTAAATACAGATTTTATTATGGTTTTTAGCAATAGAAAGTAGAATGGTCTAGGAAGGTTAGGCTATATATAATTTATTTTGCAAAGTGGGAAAAAATTGTCCCTTTTGAGAACTTCTGCAATATTATAAATGCGAAGGGCAAAAAGTTAAACGTCCCTAACGTTTAACTTTTTATATAAATAGAATTCCATTTATGAATAAACAGTCATTTTATAAAGAAAATTTAATATATCCTATAGTATTTTTCAATGTCGAAAACATTGAACAAATTGACAAACATTTTGTTCAGTCTATAATTGCTTAAATAATTCAGTAGGAACTATCAGCGTGAATAATGTATCTTGCCATTAGTGAACAAACCGATGCCCACTAATGAGCCTCTGTGAAAACAGAAGTGTGTAATTGGACTTCATTTTATATATTAGTGTTGTTTTTGTCACATAAAAATATTACTTTAAGTAAGATATTTTAGTTTTAAGTATATTTTTTTCTATATTAAACTGACGAACAGACACACAATTTTATTAATATTACTATACACCTAGCTATACGCTTCGTTATCTATATATATATATAATAAAATTCTAAGGGAGTCGAAACTATACCATAAATATTTTTTGGAAAATCTTATTGAAATAGACATTATTATTGTTACAGAGGCCTAATCTATAGTTTTTAGAATTTTTGTCTGTCTGTCTGTCCACTCTGTGACCTCATCAAGACAAAACGATTGGACAAATTTTGATGAAATGTTGATAGCTAATATAAATGTTGATAGTTATACAGGTCAACATATAGGTTATTTTTTACTGCGGGAAAATATCTCATATCTGAGATTTCTCAGAAATGAGATATAGATTTCTATAGGTAGGTACTAAACGTTATAACGTAAGCAGGGATTACGTTATAACGTAACCCGAGCGGAGCGAGGGTGAGTCTCTAGTATAGATATAAAGTAAAAATATACAGACAAACCACGAAATGAAAGATAAAATTGTATATAAATTTGTTTTAGACATTTTATAAGTTGGCTTAAGTCTCAATATAATTTCGAGTCCTTGTTACAAGTCATCAGAGGTTAAAAGTCACGAGAATCGTTCCTTTTTTAAATAACTTATTTCGTTTGCTCAAAACGTGATTTGAGTCATTACAAAAGTTATTTTTGTTGTCTTAAATAATATCTCACACGATCGTGCTACAGATAGATAACAATCCTCCACCTCTGTATCATACAATAAATATTTGTTTTATAATATCCTAAAAGTAAAGTAAAATTTTACTTTCTTCCATAAACATGCTCATATTCGCTCAGACTAAAAGCAGACGTATTAACCGAAGCAATTAAACTTTGAACGCCCTTAAACTCCCTACATAATACATGAGTTTAGAAGCGCTAGTCGACCTGATTTGCGTCAATTAGTCGACTAACGACAGACGAGTTGGCGATAACTGACTGATTCATTTATCAATTAAAATGTAGTTATAATAAGCATTTAATTCAAAATGTTTGTCTGACTGTATGCCTCTCTATGACCGCATCACAGAAATATCACTAAAAGGATTTTGATGAAATTTGGTATGATGATAGCTGGTTATCCGGACGTAAAGGATACTTTTCACTGCGGGAAAATATCTTATCTCTGAGAAATCTATACTAAACGTTAAAACGTAAGTAGGGACCGAATCGAACGGAGCGAGGGTGAGTCGCCAGTGACAATATAAAAATTCAATTTGCTTGTTTAGTGGCTTCTAGGAGTGCAGTGTTGGCACAACTGTGTATAAAAATTTTATTTTTTAAGAAAATGACAAAATAAAAATCTTTGTTCTACTTTCTCTATTTTTTTATTTGAAGTTGCCATATTTAAATATTTTATGCGAATAACATTCATATGCCAATAACAAAGACAAATATATCAAGTACTATCACTCTTATTGAACCTCCGACTGCCATAGAAGAAGACTAAACACTACTATATGGTAGGCGTATATATACTCGTATTAACAAAATGATATACCTATTACAACAACATCAACAACAATTCAGCCCTTTTTAACGTCCCACTGCTGGAGGTGGGCCTCCCTTCAATACAAGGGGGATCAGGCCATAGTCCACCTCGCTGGCCAAGTGCGGGTTGGCGGACTTCACATATCTTTCGAAAACTTGCTAGGTTCTCTCAGACATGCAGGTTTCCTTACGATGTTCTCAGTCACCGTAAGACAAGTGCTAATCATGATATAAATGATTCGCACATGAAAATTTCAGAAGTGCGAGACCCGGCATTTGTACCCGCGTCACTCGTTTTCCCAAGCGAACACATTACCACTGGGCTACCACTGCCTTAATAATAATAAACTGCCTCGGTGGTGTAGTTGCTAGCATGTACAGCTGCATATCCGGAGGTCCTGGGTTCGAGTCCCGGGTCGGGCCTAGTTTAGTTATTGAGTCTTTTTGTATAAGTAAGCCTCAGTAACAGCCCGGAGTTGGGAAGTTGGCGGTGTTTCACCCCCGTGCCTCGGAGAGCACGTAAAGCTGTCGGTCCTGCGCCTTAACTCTCACTGGTCGTGTCTCGTGTCGTCGCACCGGAGTATGAGAGTGACAGGAATAGAGAGTGCACTTGTGTCAGCGCGTACACTTGTGCACTATAATATCTCCTGCGCAGTTGGCTAGTCTCAATGAGATTGGCCGCCGTGGCCGGAATCGGAAGGGGGAACATCTATAATAGTATTATATGATCTGCGATAGTACATACTCGTAAGCTCGTTATGAATAGGGCTACCTCTGTAAACTTCTTGCGATGATGACGATGAGGATAAGAGAAAATCAAAGTAACATTCTGATATGACATAACGTTTAGAATCTTTAGATATATCATTAACATACATTCTTTAGTTCTCTATTAGAGCTAGCGATTGTAGAAACTTGTCTAAGCGCCCAAAAGCAACTTATGAATAGAATTTAAAAATGTATAAAACATAGAAACTTTGCGAAGTAAAAATTCATTTTCATATTTATCGCTCCCACTTTGTATACATTTATGGTACAGTTTGATCCCAAGTCAAGTGCGTCTGTCCTATAAAGTGTAAAGCTGAGGTCGCTTTTAGCAAAATGTAAGGCTTGAATTATTTATAACTCAGAGTAAGTATCTCTTTAACAGGATCTGTATTACGGTGACGTAAAATATTATATATTGCAATATTGTAAGTTAAATACTTAGGTATTTCTATTTAAATCATTTTACTAATATTATAAATGTGAAAATTTAGATGGATGTTTGGATGTTTGTTACTCAATACACCAGAACGGTTGAAAGAATTTGGATGAAGTTGGGCACAGAAAAAGATTATGGTCTGGAATAGCATATAGGCTACTTTTTATCCCGGAAAATGTACGGTTCCCGTAGGATAGATTTATTTTTGTTTTGTATATTAAACTACTAGGGACTTACCATCGCTTCACTTATATGACAACAAGCCCTAACAAGACCATGGATGCCTAACAGTAACCTATACGTTACTCCAGGTCACAGTCTATCTGTATACTTAATTGCATTCAAATCCGTTCAGCCATAAAAATCACATCTATACAGATAAACAAAATTGAAGTATCTGTGTGAAGTTATTTTAAAAACTTTTGTGTCTGTCAGTCTGCCTGTTTGTGCCGGCTAATCTCCGAAACGGCGGGACCGATTTTGACGGGACTTTCACTGACAAATAGCTGATGTTATAAGGAGTAATTTAGGCTACTTTTATTTAGGAAAAAAGATTAGGGTTCGGCGCAAAAAAATTAAACCCATGAAATTGCGAACAAAATCCGCATACATCCCATCCGGTAAATCGCTAGTTTATAATAAAAACAGAAAGACAATCAGTGAAGAGTACTAAATATAACATAACTTCATAATTGAACATAGAATATTAGAGCAATTTTAGGAATACAACATTAAAACCTCAAAATTCGTAATTAGTGAGACGTTTATACAAAATCGTCTCGACTATTATCTAAAGGGTTCAGTTAATGAGTTATAATAAAGTTACGTTCACACAGCCTTGAAACGTAATAGTAGAAGACCACAAGACCAAATTTTAACTACTACAGAGATCGGTTAAGAAACAAATTATTTTACTGTAACTTGAATCCTTAATGGCTTAAATTAGTTAAACCTTGGTTTCAAGATGATTTGTCTTTACATTTAATTGCATTGTGTTGCATTAACATTATATTACAAGCTTTTAGACGTATGTAATACATAGCATTATGAACGTAGTTCTTTTATTTAATGATATGAATTTTCATATGATTACCTACATAGAAGAGAATTATTTGTTTACTAGCATTGCCCGCGGCTCTGCTCGCGTTCAGATGACCAAAACCCAAATTCTTAGGTTTTACATATTAAGTATACTCTTACAATGCAGTTTTTGTATTTTTTCTCAGAAATGAGATATTTTCCCACTATCATCATACCAAATTTCATCAAAATCTGTCCAGTGGTTTCTCGTGATGCGGTAACAGACAGACAGACAGTCAGACAAACAGATAGACAGACAGATAGAGAGAAAGACAAAAATTCTAAAAACTATAGATTCGGACTCTGTATCGATATTAATGTCTATATCAATTAGATTTTCCAAAAAATATTTAATGTACAGATTCGACTTAGTTACAATTTTATTATATGCATAGATTATTTATATTATATAGTCATATAAATTTTGAACTTAAATACTTCGAACTCTATTTACAATCTATGTACAACCAAAACTATATAAGTAATGCTTAGAAGAGTCTAGTGAGCTATCTGGAGGGCGTGGGTTCGAATCCCGAGTCTCTCAATAACAGCCCAGATTTAGCGAGTTGATGGTTTTCCACGCCCGTGCCTCGGAGAGCAGGTGAAGTCGTAGATCTAGCGCTTGATCTCTCACCAGTTTCAAGAAAGAGTATATATACTCGGTGAACCATTGACCGACTTTATTAAAGAAGGAATAACTCGTAATTTTAGGTGTGTTATGATAAATATATTACACCTATTTTTTTAACGTGTAGATAGAGACTGCATGAAATTTTTGCCGATTTGTTATTTATTTAGCTTTAAAAACTAGTTATAAAAATGTGTCGTAAGGATTAATACACCGTAATATTTGATACAAATATTTTAACAATAATTACAAATACATATACTTATGTACATGAAATTGTCCCCTCTTCATAAATGCTATCGTTGATATTTTAAAGTAAAACTTGCGCTTAACTCGTGGCCTTTTCTTAAAAGGGGTGAATACACTTAAGTCTCGTTTAATATTAAAGCTCAAAAATTAGTACGGTATCAACTTTATTTCAATTTATGGAATGTATTTAAACAGAAATTTTAAAAGCTTACTTAATTCGTATATTTTATTCTTTTGATTATGTTTT